TCCTCGCATTATCCCATTGGCTCGGGTCTGCCACTCACTCAACTCTCTTTCACAGCTCGCAGCCTGAGGCTTGTTCTTCTTCGACCTTTGGTTCTTTCAGATCCGCTTTGATCTTCGACTATCTCAGCTTTGGCCTTTCTCTTGGCCTCTTTCTAGGTATATGTTCTAAGTGGCTGATCTGGAGATATGGCCTTCTTCCCTTCTTTTCACATGACCGTACCATCGAAGTCTTCACTCCTGCATCTCCATAGTTATTGAGGCGATCATCTTTGCGCATGGTATCCTTGGTGACCTGGTCAATCATTAACCCCTTTTGTATAGTAAACGTAATTTGTGTGACGTCCATCCTAGCGTACGTGCCTCATCACACTTACGCTACTTTCGTAGTTTCACATACATTCGCTGATGCAGAGCACTCGGGCGAACCACAGTATACGGTACAAGAGGGACCTCAGCTTGAGTGGCATCCGTTCATCGCCCATGACTCCGTGAAGCTTTTCCATTTCAACTAATCTGCTATTACACTAAGCTATCTACTGAAGCATACTATCATGCGCACATGCAACTTTCAAGGTATTTGAAAATAATGGTGTTCTTGGTTGACGAGTCTCCGACTTGTATAGTCCCAAGCGTATGAGATCTCAGCGCCATGTACTCAGTCCTCGTGACAATGATCCTCAAGTTATGCAGCTCGATCTCAGCTTTCCACTCCTGTGCATCTGCCCCAATTCTGCCTCTCGCCATCAGATTCATGTCATCTGCATACATCATGGCCCATAGAGGCTGATGTGGGAAGCGGTTGACCACCATGTCAACAACCGTGACGGAGAGGAGAGACGACACTACGGAGGTTTGATTAAACGCTGGCTTTTGTATGGAAATCTTTCGATGGTTCTGTTGCTGTCTGTATGTGGCTCTTCGCATTTCCGCAGATCATCTTTATCCACACGTATTCTTTTTGAACCATGTACTTCAGCAGCGCCCTACATATGATATTATGCGCCACTTTATCGAACGCCTTCTCAGGGTTGAGGAATGGTGCATGTAATTCGCATTGGTTTTTTCGGCTTACTTGCATCATCATTCTGGCAATGTTTCGGTAGTACTGCATCCCTTGACGATTCACTGGTTGGCTGCCAGCTCACTATTCTTCGGAGTCGTTTCTCGATTACCTTTCGAACATCTACAAAGTGTGGCGCATGAGTCAAAGTTCCACCTCGATTCTTCCATATCGGTATTGTCGTGCTTCCACACCAGTCCCGTGGTATCGTTTTTAGTTCTATTATCTGGTCCAGAAAATGTGCTAGCCATAAAATTCCAGCCTGTTCGCACTCTTTCCGACATTCGTCGCAGATATCTTCTGAAGCTGCGCCTTGCCGTTTCTGGTTTTCATTATGAGATGAGAACCAGGGCTTCCTCTTCCGTGATTACTGGTTTGAGTCTATGCGCAGGATCAGCTGTGATCGTCGGTGCGTATTCGTGTCTTAAGGACGCCATATTTGCGTGGTTTCCATCTCTCATTAAGCTCCCGTGGCGTTCTCAGCACTTTTCCCCGCTTGTCTTTGATGATGTAAAAGTGCTCCACGTGTAGTGTTTCTTCTTGCCATCTGATAGGTTATTCGCTCTTCTTCACGAATAGAAATTTCCTGTACAGCTCCGCCACATACGCTTCTTTGGCTTCTTTGACATTCTTCTTTGCTCTACTCTTCGCTTCTAGATATTTCTAATGATCTTCTTCATTCTCGCCTTCTGCCACAATTCGTGATCACAGATTGAATGGTCTTATTCCATCGCTATGGCTTATCTAGTCTTGGCCTTCCTGGTTTAGTATGTCCCAGTAGATTCCCTGCCTTCAGAATCTTGGCGTATTCGATGCTCCGTCACCGTCTTTAGACTCTTGACTAGGATCTTCAGATTCAGAAACAGCGGCTGATGTTTTGGTAAGCATATTTCACAGAGATGACCTTGCTGTTCTTTACATACTTGAGCTCTTTGCTTACAACCCAGAAATATCTTTGTGATTTGATATTCGCCGTCATATGTTAGGAGATGGTTGTTTTTCTTCATGAAGTATGTGTTTGTTAGCACAATTCTGAACGCGCCCCTTTCGTCGTCGCGGATCCCATATCTGTGATTTCCGTGACATATACTTGTCCCATTTCGTTGTTCATCGAGATGGCCATTAAGCTGCTCCAGTCATCAAAGTCTCTTCTGAAGGTATCAATCTGATGTAGTCGTCATCTTGCCAGAATCCATACTCTTTTGTTACCTGGGGGTGCGTAGGAGTGACTACTGACTGCACAGGGCCCGCCATGTGTTGATTTGGAGGATTTCTATAAGCGAAGTTCCCTGATGACCGCATATTTTCACGAAGTCTTCAATGACGTAAAAGCTATTAAGAAAATAACAACATACAAAGCAACAGCAACAAAAACAGAAAACAATGTCGCCAGTTCAAAGGACGCCCTGGCAGGCAAGTAATTGAAGCGCCATGTCTATCAATTCGTTTATCCCCGCTATTTTTAGCTCAAAAAAGAGGAGAGGCAATGGTCTGACTTGCTTCTTCAGTACATGATAGATCTTTGAGCTTTCTAATCGTCCAAAACAAAATGGCCGAACTTAT